TGAATTATTACAATAAGGCTATTATATATAAGGGTATTTAAAAGGGTTTCATTTCTAAACTACATGTTGGTAAGAAAAAGTGTCACATGAGAGAGGTCTAAGAAAGTCTTAGTGTAAAAATATTTTGATGATGCTAAAAAAGAGTTAAAATCGTCTGTCTTTGGCATAGTTCAAGTATGTTGAGTCTTATTGAAAATACACATAATATAGCACGCAGAAATTTCATACACTCAGCGAAGCGAGTGAGGGCGATCTAGTATTGTATAGAAATCCCACAAAAAAGCTAACTACAAGAGGGCTATTTTGTATCAATTGATTTGTTTTTCTCTGCAGGGTAGTTACACATGTACACACACACACATATACATACATATATATCTAAACTGCTGTTGACCAATGTTGCAGATTGTTTTGATCCAGCGCTGCCGCTAAAGTATCAGCAACTCATCTCGTTGCACCAAGTCAAGGATGCGCTCACACTTTGAAGCGCCGCCACTCGCCTTTTCGCGCCCACCCAGGCAACACGTAAATTGTACCAAGCAAACATATAATGAGCAAATAAATATGTACATATGTAAGTGAAGCTGTGCATACATATAGCACTCGTATACATATATGTAAATAGAGTACATATTTATGTATGTATGTATGTACGCATTAAGTGTATGCTGCAGTTACAGTCAAGCGTAGATCTACAACAATACAAATGATTGTTGTTATTTTCCGCTTTTGTGGCTACTGTTTGTCGTCGCCTTGGGCGTTCAGCTGTTTTGTTGTACTGCTTGCTGCATTGTCAATTGTTTTTGGGTGGTTAAATATATTTGCCGCTGCCACCATTATGGTGCATGGTGCAACGCATTGACTATTGTGCGTTCAAGTGTGGCTTTTGGCACGCTTTGATTGAGCTCAAGATGTTATCCGTGCACTGGTGGTGCGATAAATACAACGTTCGATATTAAATGCGTGTAAGTTTATTGATATGGAAAATCTGTGGTTTGTGCTACAGGTTTTAGATTCTATGTAGTTATGAAGCAGCAGGTGTGGTTTTCTAATACGAGCAATTGCTATCAGATTTCCATCTATATATGTCTCTATCGCGGGTAGGCCTGGTCTTCAAACCATCCGCTTGCTGCCTTATGGTTTTATGAAACTTTCACAACTAGAACCTACTCGACAACTACGAAAAAGGACCTTCACACAGGTCGGAGTCCCTATCGCGATTTCCGATTGTCAAATGTGCGGACGAGCTTCCTTTGGATTTCCTTGGTGGATACTTTACTAAGATTAGCGTTACATTCGTCGGCTTAAAGTTCAAACTGATCCCAGCCAAGGACCGTTCAAGGAGGCCACATGCAGGCACTCACTTAGCTCGGATGAACTAACAGAAGGAAAAAAATTAAATGAAATGAAAATGAAAAGCCCAAAAAGGCCTCAAATAAACCCATTATATTCGCCGTATATACGGATTTCTTATATGTCTCAGTCATCGAAACTAGCTCCAGATTATCCCGCCCTTAAAAATATAAAAGTGACACAAATTAATGTGCAGCACTCGATATGTGTTACAGATAACCTAGCTATTAAGGAGTGCTCTGCTCTCTGAGAACAGGTATGAGATATGAATGGCGAATAAATTGGCCATATGTTGTGATGGCACTTTGTCGACATTGAGCCTTCCCTGAGTTGTTGAACGCCCATTTTTTCTGCCTTGTGGCGTGTGCATAAGACTCACATTTGCCAGCGTTATCAAAAGCGCCTTTGAATACTTAAAAACCCCATTATTTTTTTCCCATACTCCCTTCGATCTTAGTTAAAAGATTACTTAAGACTTAAGTACTAAACAAACATCAAATTCTTCCTCATCACCTCAATCACCTTCTCTCAGGATAGTCGTGATAAACGATGTCCTTAAAGAGCTGGAAAGGAAAGGATGCCAGGTTATTTCCTACGATAAAGATGTGGCAATCATCGTCAGAGGAAAATTCTTGGACACTGTGTATGTGGTCATGTAAAGGTACCTGAACTCGGTCACAAATTGGTCTTGTAGCGGACTTGGTATAAATCATGGAAGACTGAGCTCGTATTATTCACCAGAAGGTATCAAGTGCCTCAAGTTCAGATTCCTTCAATAGAGGGTGTTTCTCTTATTCTTCCTGACAGGGTCAAGTTCTTTGGCGAGATGCTCTACAGGAAGTTATCATGGAAGCTAAATATTGAGCAGCGAGTAAAAAGGCATCTGGTGGAATTCACTGAAAAAGTCCACTTTTGCTAGAATGCTGGAGCCCGTGCAAAGGGCGACCCTCTTTGGTATCAGCGGATTGCTCCCGACCATTACAATTCTAGCGCTAAATGCTAAGCTAGCGGCAGTTCCCTTGTCTATTAGGCCCAAAAGCTCGGGGTTTTCTTTCAATCATACGGGCACTCGACGATTCTCAGAAGCTTCGACTTCCTATCGGAAAAATTAGATCGGAGTGTTGCGAGGCTGGGTACCAACAGACTCTTCTCCACGCAAATTCCTCCAAGGAGCGAATGGGAGAATGGCAGTCTTTGAAATAGACGTCTCATAAACATCTTTACGGATGAAACTCTCAATAGATCTTTTGTTCAGACTGCTGGATCTCTGCAGCGTCTTTCAAGCAGAGGTAGCCGCAATGAAAGAGGCAGCCGATTCGCTACGCACAACTTCTTTCCAACTAGGAGGGGGTAAGTATTTACTCTGATAGCCAAGCATAGTCTAGTTTATTTGGATTCCAGGACATAATAACATTACTGAAAATTTCAGGGCTGATGAATTGGCTAGGAAGGGCACCCTCGAGGTTTTCATCTCGGACAGGGCGGGAGTAGGAGTTCCGTTGGCCACCTGTGGTCTGCTCCTGGACAGATGGGTCTACAGCAGGCTCATCTAACGCTGGGTGAAAATCCCGACATGCAAAGTTGCAAGGTCCTTCGGGCCCGTTGTCGTCCGCGGGCGATCAAGAGAGCTTCTGCAGCTGGCTAAGCGCCAGTTGCGACTTAACATCCTCACAGATACCTACTGCCGCAACTGTTTGCAAGACGAGCTGGAAGCATCTCAGCACTTCCTTCTCAGCTGCCGAAAAGCTCTCGGGAGTAGATATCAGCTGCCTGCGGAACTTTGTTCTGAGAACCCAGCGCTTCTATTAGTTCTAAAACAGAGTATCTGCAGTTACCGTTCAAAGAACTTATTCAACAACAAGTTCATCTCAACTTGCAGTCCAAGTTAGACATGAATTGAATATCAGCTTGAGAACTAAAAATTTCTCCGAGGTTGGAATTTTTATTTTTTTTTTTGTTTTGTCCACAAGATTAAAATCATGCGCTGTTTGCATACTCGCAGCCAACCGAAATCAACTCAATTAATTTAATGTAGTATAAGACGAATAAATCTGCATGTGTGCAATTTTTATTGCATGCTTCCTTCCACCATTGCACACACGCGCGTAATCTGCGTCTTTGGAGTTGCGATTTAGTGGTTGTTTGTAGGTATGTATATTTTCTTGTAGGTAGGTAAATCTTTTTGTAGCGGTCTTTTCAATGTTTATTTTGCCGATTTTTTTTTGTCAGTTGAAGACATGGGATAGTTATTCGCTCTTATTCACCAAAATGCCATGCATGGGCTACACAGTGCCACGGACGCACGACAGCATAAGCGACAACGTCATTCGCATCATTGGCCGCATCATCAGTCGCATCAGCAGCCAGCAGCACTGCAATGGACAGAACGATCTTATTCAAGCCAGCCAGCCAGCCATTCGCATCCTGTTGCAGTCCACTGTTTTTTTGTTGTTGTTTTTTTTGCCATCCACAATATGCACCTTTTGTTCCCTTTTTCCCGCTTGGTATGGCATCTTCTTATGCACCTTTTGCTTTCGTCTGACTACCTTCATCTTAGCAACCATCGCCTCGTATTTTAGCTTACCATCATCATACATTTTTATTGTTGTTTATTAGGTTCGCATATTAAATGGAAATCTTCTTGATTTGTTGCGTGTGATTGTTGAGGATTTACCTACCCACATGCCCATACATATATATATATATATATATATGGTATGGTACATTCATACAAGCATACATGTGTAGATACTACATCATAAATTTATGCTCACTTACAGCGCTGCAAATCTGTGGCCTTCCCGATAGCTGACAGCAGCGTGATCGGTCGATTAACTGGTTTTATATCTATCTACTTACATACAGTATCGTTACTGTTGTTGGTTTTGCCATTGCAGCGTTTAGGTCGCTTGAGGTTGTTGCCTTAGCAGTTGGCCCTTCGATTGCTTCATAGTTTCACCGATTCTACTTCGTTTTTCTTTCACTGTCTTTTTGTTTTGATCACCCTTCTGTGGCTGTGTGCTTCATTGTTGTTGATCTTGTTTTTGTTGTTGTTGTTGTTGTCGTTGTTTTCGTTATTTTTGTTGTTCTATTCATTTTCATTGTCGATTTTGTCGCTTATGTTGTCTTTGTTCGCGCCATCCTCCTCCTCCACCTCGTCGTCGTCGTCGATTTCGTCTCCGTCTTCGTATCGGGTATCGCGCATTTGTGGTAAATATCTGTGCGCGATCAATTTGTGTACCTCATTTGTGGCAACAACCATAACGTCAACACACTCAACGTGCAAACAGCAAGAACAATATCGAAAGAAGAAGCAGAACTATAGGAAATCGGCTACGGCGGCGGCGGCGGCTCACTGCCTCCAGTCTGACATCCAGCGACAGCAGCAGCACCCGTTTCGTTTACTCAGGCATTTCACGCTGACCTTATTGCCATGGATGATGTTGTTTTTCATTATACGTATACTACTTCTACACTATACTACATATATGTAGTCGTTCGGGTTGTTGTGATACCATTTCTTACGCTTGTTGTTTTTGTTCTTGCTTTCTTCTTTCCCATAGCTCTTCATCACACGACAACTTTATTTGTTGTTGCGCCGCCCGTTTTCGACGTTCTTCCCTTTTTCTTTCGTTTTTCGTCTGCTCTCAAACACTAGCAGTGCTGCGTCTTTCAAGATTTATGGGCTCTGTTCTACAGCTTGTTCCGTCGTTTTGGCTGTCTTCTTCGCAGTCATCGTCATCGTCATCGTCAGCGGCCACGACTCGATTCCATTCAACTTGTCTCGTGATTTCCACAGTTGACGCTATTTTGACTGTGCTGTCGCTGCTGTTATGCTTCAAGTTGTTTTGTGTATTCTTTTTGTTCAGTGTGTTTGTTGTTTGTACTGGTATGTTACTCGTGTTTCTTATCTGTGTTTTTTGTTCATGTTGTTGTTGTTGTTTTTCTTGTTGTTGTTACTTGAGTCAACTGTTAATTGTGAAAATTATAGTGTTGAGAAATAAGTGAAGTGTTTGGAAATTGGATTTAAATTATGTTTTCACAAATAGTTTGAGAATTCTTCACAACATGATGCGTCATTTGAGGCGTCTGGGAAGCGCTTTGACAGCGACAGAGAGCGCAAGCGAGAGAGAGAGAGAGAGAGAGAGTAAGGCCTCACACAAAGCCGTTTAGGAATTGAAGTGCGGTAAAACCTACTTATGAGATGCGACTTTTACATATCGATACTATTTTTATATGTACATATATATACACACACATATGTATGCCTGTACATATATGCGTACACAATCTGGGGTTGATATCTGCCTTTTTCGTTTATCTGGTCTACTGTGTTTTGCCGGCATGAGTGTGGAATTTCGTCGTGTCTACTCTTGCTTATTTTGCTGCTGTTTGTTCGCCAGCTTGAGTGGATAAATTAGTGTACCCACGCTGTGGGAAATCGACAAATTATAAATGTTCCATGGCATTTATGTGGATTTTGTTTATTAAGTAGTAGTTAATTGTATATAAGTACACGTTCGTGTGTGGGCGTGGAAAATTTTGTATGGGAATCGGAAAGTTTTATTAGTATTAATTGATTTTAGGAATGTTTGTTTATTTTCGTAGGAAAATAGACTTCATTTTTAATTAAATAATACACAATAGAATTGATATTTTCGGAGCAGAAAAAGATGCCCGTTAAACCTATGTACAATGAAGAAACAAACTAGTTCTTTTTTGGTATTTTATTAATTTTTCTAACAACAGGTTTTTTGGCTAGGAAAGTCCCGGTTGTTTATCTTCTTGTCCAAAACTGACGATACTGCATACTGCTTGGTCTACACGGAGAATATCCTGAAATGTCCGCGACCATTAAAGCGAAGCTGCTGGGAAGCCGGGGTTAGGTTGCCGAAACAACAGTCCGTGGTTGAGAAAAACTCGAGTCACTCCGGTACGTAGAACCGACTGTCGATGGCACAGCAATTTCGGTTACCTTTGATAGTCTGCTCCCCTTCTCCACACTCACAATCGCCGGTGTCACTAAAGACCCACAACAATGTCGTATGGTTGGTCGCATAGCGAGCTCCAAATGTTCCCTGTAACCGAGCACGAGAAAATGCTCAGCAAGCAGCCAGAAGGTATCTTTTCGAATAAAGGAACGTGATCCAGTCCTGTATTGAATGAAGAATCGGTCGCCACCTACCACTACATTCGACCTATAAATGCCGTGATTGAAGTCTAATCTCCACCCTAGACCTAGACCTTCGAGCGCCACGAGAGACCCTCGCCTCTCTGGCCCAATTACGGTTCGAGTATTGTTGGCGCCTGAACAGCTAAGTGTGCAGACTCGACCCCAATACCCACATTGAGTATCCGGCATGTGTAATCACGATGAAATAGGCAGAGAGAGAGAGAGTATGCTTCCCTCGTCAATACCGGGGACCAACACCGGCTCGTACAGAAAATACTATCCTGTGTCGTATTGTTGAGATGGACTTTGACCACAGCGATGCATCTTGGAAGTAGGTGGTTTTAACGACATTATGCACATCGTCCTATGCCGCCCTCACTCGGATAATGTGCAATTGTAGCATCTTTGGTCAGATAACATTAGCTAGCGCAGGTCTGGCATCAGACCACCTATCCAAAATCATCCCGATCACTAAACCGACCCAATTTGCTTTCGCTAAACATGGCAACTATATTAACTTCAGCAAAGCTAATAAGATCGGCTTCGTGGAAGTTACCGAGTGCATCTTGGTGGTTATTGCTGCAGCAACTCGCTTCATACGTTCGGATGCTTGTTGGAATTCCGTAGGTGGTAAGAGTGTCTAAAGACATGTAAGCTCTGGTCAACCGCAATACCGCTGTTTAACCCGGCGAATGGCGATGACGGAGTGGAAATTTTATTGTGCGTTCATGCCTCGTCATACCTGAAGAGATAACCCTACTCAGGCTAGCGAAACCTACCAAGGAGGAGGAGTTTTATCAACCGGAAATACTCCTTTTTCTAGAAAACCTAACTAGTAGCACCTGAATTGTCTAAGGCTTCCGACACCGTGTGTCTCTCCACGGCGCTAGAAGGCATATAGGCGCTCCATCCCCCACATAGACCTTCTCTCCAGTATCAGTATCGTTATCACTGTCTTTACTGTAATCGTTATCGATATTGTAAAAAAATGTCCTTATCGTTATATTGTAATCGTTATCGTTATTGTTAAAAAAATGTCGTTATTGTTATCTTATGTTTATCATTACAAATATGCGACTTAACTAAAAATATTCCGGCCTATTCTGAACAGAAACTCCCTGGGAGTTCTCTCACTTTTCCCTTTCCCCTATCATTAATGGAAATGCCCTGAGGATTTTTTTAAATGGCGAAGTTGAGCTGCCATAAAAGTCTCAAACAGATCTATCGAAGTTCCAATTTCCTCCTCTCAAATTTACAGAAAAATGCTACTCACTGGGATTTAATAATTGGAAGATTTCTTTCTCGGGAGAAACAAATTCCCGGAGAACAAACTCCGCGGGGGTATTCAGAATTGGGCTGATAAAATCTAACGATGTCCCACTGGTGCGATAAAAATATCTCCAGCGATTAGACCAACTGAGACCACATATAAGTACGGTGACCATTCGTACTGATTTTGGCGGGACAGTACCGATTTTGAGAAAATTGTTCCGCTGAATATTTTGTTAAAAGTCGGGACGTATAAGTGTGCCGATTTTTCATATTTGTACCGCTTAAGTCCACATTTTCGGTGTTTTTTTATTAACCATTTGAGGACCTATGCTGCTTATAGGCAACATTGAAATTTTGAATTATAAATCTTGTTGTTTGATTATTTTTTTTTAAAGGTTGGTTTTAGTTCATACTTTAGTATGTTGTGAAGGCTAAAAGCTGAACCTCTTGCCACAATTATTGAACCAATTAGTTTTCAGCAAAATTTTCGTTTTGACTACTTGTATAATATGAATGTTGCTTAAAGTGCTTTTGGAATATTTAATAAAATGCACTTAATAAATTATCTTTTTTTAACAAAAGGGTTAGTTTATAAAATGTAATAAGTAAAATTAAACAAAAACATAAAACCGTGACAGATGTTTTTAGTTTTTGTTAGGAAGCTTTGGAAACATGTTTCGCATAAAAGATCTGCACCGCTTGTTCGATTTTCAAAAATGGAGAGTCATATTATAGCGCTTGGCCTGTAGATGTGCAAACTGGTTTTATTTTTTTCTAACAGAGTTGCCACCTGTAGAACAATTCATTTGAAATTATTTAATAAGCAATGCCATAATAACCGCGCCGTTCGTTCGGTTTTCCTAAGTGAGGTGTCAAATTAAGAGGCTTGGACTGTATGTGCAAAAGGTTTTACTTTTTTGAAAAAAGTTGTCACCTTATAAAAAATTGTATTGAAACTATCGGAAAAAAATAAAATAATACAAAATGGGTATCAATGGAAATGGTTTTGAAAATGTTTCTTTCTTAACTATACTTTAGGAGGGTTGTCACCTGTTTAAAAAATCAATTTAAATGTGAATTAAGGAAATTAAATAGGAAAAAAATGTTCCAACATATGGGTGCCAAACGAAAAGGGGCTCAGAAAATAGCAGTTTGAAGATATTTTGTAGTGGGTTGCCACCTGCTTGAAATATCGAATTTAGTCAACTTATCCTAAAGTTATATGAAATGTCAAAATATGGATGTCAAACGAAAGAGTGTTAAGACATCTTTAGTTGAAACATTAAGAATATTTTTGAGGTATAGGAAGAGGGTTGCCAACTGTCTAAAACTTTATTTCAAATTATTAAATAACTACTATTACTAAAATATGGGTATCATCTAAATGATTTTGAAAAAGAACCATAAACATAGCATCCTTATTTTCGGTGACTTTTACTTGTGTTCTCTTATGTCTAACTGGTAGTCTCGCTTTATGGCAATCTATCATTCTTGCTTCAATTTTATGAAAGGTTTTCATAATTATTATAAAAAGTGCATGCAAAAATTCATGGATATGGAAAATATACTTTTGCCATACTTTTTCAAGTTTTTCTCTCTTTCCCTTGTTTTAAATAAAATTGTATTAAAAGATGTTATGTCTTTTTATTTTAAAACCAAATTATATTTTCGGATTCGATGCTTTAGAAATGTCCTGTTTTTGTCCACAGAAATCTGGTCACCTTGCATACTTTCAAGCAAAAGTACTTGAAAGCAAAAATAATTTTTTTTTGTTCCATACTCAACTCATTTTAGATTTAACCCTTTTCCTAAATATTCCTTATTGCTTCTAAATCAAATTTTAATTTCATTACTACCTCCTCATTCGGGGTTTTAAAACACCCGCTCTACTGCTAGATAGTATTTTATCTCATAAAATAATTACCAAAAGTTAAGAACCGAAGCGGATTGTTGATATAAATCTTAGCTGGAGGCAATTATTTCTTAAGAACTTTGTAGCCAGAACTCACAAAAATTTCCACCCCATTTTACGAGCGGTCGCATTCATTCAATTTGACTAATTTAAATGTGTAAATATGTAGTACAAAAGCATGTAGGTATGTACACAGTGGCGGACAGCGATCATGTCTACCTAATATGCCAGCAATAATCTAAATCGAATGACTTCTTGTTAATTTGTTTAACAACATTAAATCACTTTAAAAGGTCACGCACAAAATTTATAATGCCTATATACATACCTAAGAAGTTTTATACGTATGTACCTACATATGTATGCTTAAAAGTATCAGAGCATAGAAATTCGGTGAATGAATGCCTACCTAACCGCACAAATGCTGAGTGGAAAAGCTGCAGGCGTACGCACAAAATCAAGGACAAACCGGAAAATACGCATTCAAAAGCGAATCTAAGCAAATTTAACTTCTCGCACTCGCATACATACATACATACATACATGCATATGCC